ATTTCTACAGAAACAAGTTGAAGTACCTGGTCTTCCTCCACAAGTGCATGAACACCAACCCATTCCGTTGCCCCTACCACTTCCAAGGACCCAGCCGCATCTTTTGGCAGACAGTGCGAGGCATGCTGCCACACAAGACCAAGCAAGGCCAGGCTGCCCTGGACCACCTCAAGGTGTTTGATGGGATCCCGCCACCCTACAACAAGAAAAAGCAGATGGTGGTTCCTGCTGCCCTCAAGGTGGTGCGCCTGAAGCCTACACGGAAGTTTGCTTACCTTGGGTGCCTGGCTCACGAGGTTGGCTGGAAGTACCAGGCCATAACAGCCACCCTGGAGGAGAAGAGAAAGGAGAAGGCCAAGATCCATTACCGGAAGAAGCAGCAGCTCATGAGGCTACAGAAACAGGCCGAAAAGAATGTGGAGAAGAAAATTGATAAATACACAGAGGTCCTCAAGACGCATGGACTCCTGGTCTGAGCGCAATAAAATTGTTTATTCCTCATGCTTGGCCTGGCCTGCCCTTCCTCCATCGCCGCCTGGGGCTTAGAATGCTGGGAACACAGAAAGGGCTTTAGTCACTGCTGTTAATTAAGAAAGGCCTTCTTAAAAGGTTAAAAAAAAAACTCTAAGAGCTTTGAGGCATAATTGCCTGTGACCTGCTCATTTCTGAGAGTTCTAAGAAATTGATAGTTGGAACAACTATTTCACTGTTGGCAAGAGATCTGGAGAATGTTTGGAGGGGAGCCCTGTGTTGTGAATGGGGTGTGTTTAAACTCTGCAGCTGTTAGGGTGTGAGGATGCTGAGGGCCAAGCCTGGTGTTGTACAGAGGTAGTTCATCTGGAACTTCCCTGGGAAGTACAGCCAAGGGGTCTCAGGCACTGCCCTTGTGTTTTCCCTGTATTTTGTGATCTAAAACTAATCAATTATTTAAAAAAAAAAAAAAAAGAAATGCTGTAGGTTGCTCCTGCTGCTGTGAATGTCCTAATATGTCACAGTTGCTCAAGGAAACTATTCAGATACTTAGCCTCAATAAGCACCAATAAAGGGACACCTGGGTGGCTCAGTTGTTGGGCGTCTGCCTTCGGCTCAGGTCAAAATCCCAGGGTCATGAGATCAAGCCTCACATCGGTCTTCATGCTCAGCAGGGAGTGTGCTTGAAGATTCTCTTCCTCTACCCCTTCCCCCACTCACGCTCTCTGTCTCTCTCTCTAATATAATAAATAAATAAAATCTTTTTTAAAATACTAAGAGATTAATATCCAAAGTACACGTTTCCCCCACTATCTGAAAGTTTGCTTTATAACACTGCTTTTACAAAAGATCTACTTTAGTACCTGTTTTCACTAACTAAAAAAATCTGAAGAGGATTGTGCCTTTTACAAAATGATAGTTGCTTCTTTGTTTTATGCCATTTCAGCTTACAAAAGGTTTCATAGGCATATTCTACTTTTGGATAGCAGGGGAAGCCTGTCTATGGAGAACTCCTTAAAACGCAACAAGAAAGGGGTGCCTGGCTGGCTCAGTTGGAGGAGCATGCGACTCTTGGTCTCAGGGTTATGAGTTCAAGCCCCATGTTGGGTGTAGAGATCACTTTAAAAAAAAAACTTAAAAAGAAAAACTCAATAAGAAAGCAAACAACCTAATTCAAAAATGGACAAAACACACTTGAATAGGCATTTCTCCAAAGAAAGTACACAAATGGCCAATAAGCACATGAAAAGATGCTCAAACTCACCTAGGGAAATACAAATCAAAACTACAAAGAGATACAATCTCTCACCCATTAGGATGGCTATTATACAAACAAACAAACAAAAAACAGAAAATAAGTGTTGGTGAGATGTAGAGGAATTGGAACACTTCTGCACTGTTGGTTGGAATATAAAATGGTGTAGCCACTGTGAAAAACAGGATGGTGACTCTTAAAAACTTTTTGAAAATTACCATATAATCCATAAATTCCATTTCTGGATATATACTCAAAATAATTGAAAGCAGGATCTTGAAGAGATATTTGTATACCCATGTTCATAGCAGCATTATTCTCAATAGCTAAAACATGGAAGCAACCCAAGTGTCTGTTTATGGATGAATGGATAAACAACGTGATCTGTTCATACAATGGAATGTTATTCAGCCTTAAAAATGAAGAAAATTCTGACACCTGCTACAATGTGGATCAGTCTTAAGGACATTAAGCCAGTCAGAAAAAGACAAGTACTGTATAATTCCACTTATATGAGGGACCTAGAATAGTCAAAATCATAGCAACAGAAAGCAGAATGGTGGTTTCAGGGGCTGAGGGGAGTGGAGAATGACAAGTTATTGTTTAATGGATATTGAGTTTCAGTTTTGCAAGATAAGAGTTATGGAGATAGATGGTGGTGATGGTTGTACAACAATATTAATATACTTAGTACCACTGAATTATACACTTAAACATGTTTAAGAGTAAATTTGATGTTTTATGTGTTTTACCACAATTTAAAAAATGAGAAAAAATTTAAGCTGAGAAAGTTCTCTGTTGAGGGTCCTTGGTGTCCACCACATAAACCTTCTTCTGTTCATCCTTAAATGCTGCTTCTGAGTATCTATTAATGCTAGATTCCTCTGTGTAATATAGAAAAAAAATCCTTTCTTTTTTTTTTTTTAAAGATTTTATTTATTTATATGACAGAGAGAGACACAGCGAGAGAGGGAACATAAGCAGGGGGAGTGGGGGAGGGAGAAGCAGGCTTCCCGCCGAGCAGGGAGCCCGATGTGGGACCCGATCCCAGGATCCTGGGATCACGACCTGAGCCGAAGGCAGACGCCCAACAACTGAGCCACCCAGGCGCCCAGAAAAAAATCCTTTCAGATTGGGATGTTAGAACTGCACCATTTCTCCTTGGTCTTATTACTGTCTTTAGTTTTATCTTTTAAAAATAAATCAAGAATCATTGACCTAATTATTAAATTTGAAAACAGGCTGTTATGTAAGCTATAGATGAAGAGAGAAACAGCATGAAAAGAGCTCTACTGACACTGAAGCCTAGTGCACTCACTTGGAGTGACAGATGGAAACTGCCCTCATCGGAATTACAACCAAGACTACAAATGTTGTGCAGAGGAAACTTACACATGAAAACTGAATTGTTTCTGACATCAGTCAGACTGAAAAAGCATCGGTTCACAGACCCCCAAGTTTATGCAGAGGACCAGGAAATGAGTTTGACACCAAGTACTAAGGAGAGCCTGAGTTCCTGCCCCTGTCCAGCCATTCACCCAAGTTCCCTGAACCTTGTCATTAGCCAGAAACAAGAGGGGGCTGGCTGGGTGGTGCCTGAGCTTCCTTTCCACCCTCAGATTCTAGACCCTGACACCTGTCAGTAACCAGGCAGAGAATGCACTGGGTTACTGGCTCAGCAGTTCAAACTACCTGGGGCACTGAAATGCATTTGTGTTTCTTTTATAATGAGGCCCTCTTTTCTGTTCTTACCCTTTTCTATCCTATTTACCAAAACAAACATTGCCATACAAACCATGATGTAAGGAGAACCCACCCACTAGGTTTTATGTACACACATCCCCATTTTGCTCTCAAGGACCAGCAGTTCTTTCCTTTATGGTGTTACAACAAAGCAAGAGTTGGATTTTAGGGGCGCCTGGGTGGCTCAGTCGTTGGGCATCTCCCTTCGGCTCAGGTCATGATCCCAGGGTCCTGGGATCTAGCCCCGCATCGGGCTCCCTGCTCCACGGGAAGCCTGCTTCTCCCTCTCACACTCCCCTTGCTTATGTTCCCTCTCTCGCTGTGTCTCTCTCTGTCATATAAATAAATAAAATCTTTAAAAAAAAAAAAAGAGTTGGATTTTAAGTGGAGAATGAAAGGGGGATCAGTTGAGCTAGCATGCAGTTGTGAAAAGTTCATCATGAGGGGTCATTTTTAATTATTACACAAATATATGAGATTGAAATATGATGTCAAATAAAAATATTTAGTTACCAAAACAGAAGAAACAACATCTGGGAAGTGGTAAGAGTTAGATATCCAGAAGTATAAGTCAGGAAGAGAGGCTCTCTATGGCATATAGAAAACTGCAGAACTACTCTATGCATGCAAAAATGAGTGACAATAGCCACCTTCAAGCACTTTGTATTTTCTACCAATTCACCTGCAGCCTTCTTCACATTGATCCTTTTGATTATTCAACCTAGACTGGGCCCCAGAACATGACAACCTAACTTGTCAGGTAGAGAGAGAGGAAAAGGTTGGGAACCAATCTTTACCTAAAAGAGTTTTAATAACTGAGGCAATTGGAAGGTAATTTTTTCTGTGATATTCCTGGTATCCCTGAGAGGGGAAGTATAATTTTAGGTACATACTGACAAAATTTGAATACAAGTTAATTAGATTAAAGTTACAGTGTCTTTTAGAGATAAAATTGAAGGACCCTATAGTTATTGTTTTGGCAAAGGATGCAGTGTATGGGTACTCAAACTTTATTGAGACAGAAACAAACCATGATTTATGATTTTATGATTTATTTTATCATGTGGCACCTAATATATCAGATGACTTTTGAAAACAGTGTTTTGGTTTGATAGATGTTAGGAATTGTCTTAGTCTGTTCAGGAAGCTATAACAAAATAGCACAGACTGGGTGGCTTGTACATAGCAGACACAGATTTCTGACAGTTGTGGAGCCTGGAAGTCCAACGTCAAGTGCTGGCAGATTCCGTGTCTGGTTCACAGACGGCCATCTTCCCACTGTGCCACTGTATCATTGCATATGGTGGAAGAGGTGAGAGATCTCTCTGGGGTCTTGGGTCTCTTTTATAAGGTCGCTAATCCCATTGTCTGCACACATAAACATTCAGTCTATAGCAGTGTTACATACAATTTCCAGTTTGCCTTGTTAACAGTAGAAGAGAGTGGGATGGAAGCTTTACTTCCAGCTTCTGGAAAAGTGGGTTCAAAGAAGGTCCACCAAAATGAATGACATTTTCCTTTCTTCACACAGGTTCTCTCCTAGGGTGCCAAGATCTTTGCCATTCAACACATCAGTCATGTACAAAAAGACTGTGTTCGTAGAGTTTACAGATGACCTTTTCAACATTGCCAAGCCCAGGCCACCATGGATGGGTAATATAAACAATATTGACTGTTTATTATGAAACTGAGTATCTGATGTCCTAGCAAGGATCCCCCAGTCTTGGAGCTGCAGTTGTAGAAGGCCAGGTTTCCCTTACTACCACCTGTTGGGGAAATACACTGACACAGAATATTCTGTCTCTTTGCTGGACTCTCCTCCTCTGCTTGTTCTCTAGATGTTAGAGTGCTCTGGGTCTTGGACCTGGGTTTGTTTTATCTCTTCTTTACCTTCGATCACTAGCTGATCTTATCCAGTCCCACAATTTTAAGATATCCCTATGCCAGTAACTCCCAGGTTTATATCTTCAGTTCAGGCTGCTTGCATGATACGTCCACTTAGATGTCAAATAAGCATGTAACAGGATATCAAAATAAGACATCTCCTACCTTAGAATTATTGCTGAGAATTATAGGTGACAAGTACTCCCAAATTCTAAAGAGAGATTGGGAGCACCCAGCTGGCTCAGTCAGTAGAGCACATGGCTCTTGATCTTGTGGTTGTAAGTTCAAACCCTATGTTGGGTATAGAGATTATTTTTTAAAATTATAAAAGGTCAGTTTTATCCAGTTTGAAATCTTGGACTAAGAGAAAAGAAATAAATTTTATGAGACAGAAACAAACCATGGGAGACTCTTAACAATAGAGAACAAATAGAGGGTTGATGGAGGGAGGTGGGTGGGGATGGGCTAGATCGGTGATGGATATGAAGAAGGACACATGTTATGATAAGCACTGGATATTGTATGTAAGTGATGAATCATTGAATTCTCCTGAAACCAGTATATGTATGTATGTATGTGTATGTGTATATATATGTGTGTGTACACACATATAAAAATGAGTGACACACACACACACACATATATATATATATTTAGAGTGAGAGAGGAATAAGGAAGAGGAGCAGAGAGAGAGGGAGAGAAAGAATCCCAAGCAGGCTCCACACCCAACACAGAGCATGATGCAGGGCTTAATCTCAAGACCCTGAAATCATGACCTGAACCGAAATCAAGACTCAAACATTTAACCAACTGAGCCACCCAGGCGCCCCTACTCCTGAAACCAGTATTGCACTGTATGTTAACTACCTAGAATTTAAATTAAAATTTGATGGAAAAAAAAAAGAGATGTCAGCCCTCATATGTAGGACTTATTCAGGGACTTGTTCAGGTGGTGACCCAAAATTGGTTCTGCAACCCTCAGCCCATCTTGCACCTCAAGCCTAAATAAAAGAAGGCTAGGAACTTATGAAATAATTTAGGTTTGAGGATTTCTTTGTAAACCATTTTTGGTGATTTGTATGTTCCCCACCCCATAGTGGGAGGAAGGTTTCACCCTCATGTCAAGCTGTAGTGAGGAAGCCTTTAGGAGAACCACTTAGAAGACTTGACATAAGACCTGTGGAACTCCTAAGACTCTGACTAGCTCCTGCTTTTTATCTGAAAAAACTTTCAAGGTCAGAGTCTTCAGGGAACTTCCCCTAAAAGTCTCTCTAATTGTACTGCCAGAAGCAGAAACTGAGAAGAGATATACAAGTGACAGCTGGAGAGGGCATGATTTGGAAGGAGAGAGTCTCCAAAGAACTCCTATAAGTTCCCTAAGAAAGAAAGAGACAGAATTTTGGCATGCCCCACAACCAGGGGCTAGCAAAGCCACATTATCACTATTCTTTCCAAGAAAGATCTTGTCATCATGCCTATTTTTACACCCCTGTCCTTTTCTCACTAGCTACAAGCTTAGAGGGTCAGGAGATAGTAAGGTGAGTGGGGGAGGCAGATTCAGAGAGGAAGATGAGAAAGCTGGAGGAGGGAGGGACCCTTACATTGCAGGAGACATCAGATGTTTGATATTAAGCTAGACTGCTAATATGTGATGGTTACTGGAAAACATTGGGGATTGTTCAAAGTGCAAGAGGGGAAACTCCACGTAACACAGGTGTTTTTTTTTAAGATTTTATTTATTTATTTGACACAGAGAGAGAGCACAAGCAGGGGGAGCAGGAGAGGGAGAAGCAGCTCCCCGCAGAACAGAACAGGGAGCCCAAAGCGGGACTCGATCCCAGGAACCTGGGATCATGACCTGAGCCAAAGGCAGACACTTAACTGACTGAGCCACCCAGGTGTCCCTCCACATAGCACAGTTAAAAACCCTGAAAAATAAATCTCTTTGATGTTTTTGACCCATTGAATCCACTTCATTCAATAAATCATTTGTAGGCATCTTATACTTAATATGTCTATAAGTCAGAAGTCTTGATTTTCCTCTTAATTTTCTGCATCTTGGCCTGCCTACCACCCAGTTGCACAAACCCAAACCACAGGAGTCATCCCTGGCTGCTCTTGTTTTTTTTTCCTATCTCTAACATGCAATCCATCAGCAAGTCTTGTTGACTATTCATCCAAAACAAGTCCCAAGTCTGCATACTTCTTGTAAATTCCAAATTCATCCAAACTCCTGTGGCCTACAAAGTCCTACATGTTATGTTCCCTGCCTGCCTTTATAACCTTATTTTCTCTTATTCCCCTGTTCATTCACATGTTACTCAACTATGTCAAGATTATTCCTGTCTCAGGACTTTTCCATTTGTTTTATCTGCTTTGAATGTTATTCTATTAGATATTTACAAATCTTGCTTCTTTTCAATTTAGTTAGATCTCTGCTCAAATGCCACCTCTTCAAAGATGCCCTTCCTAACCACTATATTTAAAAGATTCTGTCTCCTGCTTCATCATTTTCTAGCACACCACCATCTTTTATAGCATTTACAACAATCAGAATATGTCTTGTTGGGGCGCCTGGGCGGCTCTGTTGGTTAGGCGTCTGCCTTTGGCTCAGGTCATAATCCCAGATTCCCACGATTGAGTCCCATGTCGGGCTCCCCACTCAGCGGGGAGTCTGCTTCTCCCTCTGACCCTCCCCCTCTTGTGCTTTCTCTCTCAAATAAATAAAAATATTTTTTAAAAAAAGAATATTTCTTGTTATTTCTTTATGTGCTTAATTACATTCTCCAGAATGTAGTTTCCATGATCTGTCTTCTTCACTACTGCATCTCCAGTGCCTAGGGCAGTTCCTAGACTATAGTAGGAACTCAACTATTAGTTGAATGAATGAATACATTGAATAAATTGCCAGAAATCTATCCTCAGAACAACCATGACACTAAGCTGGTGATAGCAGTTTATGCATTTATTCAGTCAGTTACTACTTTTTATTGATAATCACAGGGTCATGTTTTTCCACTGTGACTTTGGCCATCACTTTCATAATATCAGGTTTCCTGGAGTACCACTCTCAAAGTGACCTTTGGGTGGCATCTCATTCTTGCAGGTTTGCTGGGTCCTACCATCTGTGCTGAAGTTTATGACACAGTGGTCATTATACTTAAGAACATGGCTTCTCATCCTGTCAGTCTTCATGCTGTTGGTGTATCCTATTGGAAAGCTTCTGAAGGTGAGTCAAATGCCCTCCTATTCTCCTGTCATCTCAGGGATAGAAAGGAGTATTGAATACAAGGTCCTACAGCTAGTGAATGGTGTACTCAGGATTCAAACCTAGGCCAATTTCATGAAGTCAGGAACATTGTCATTTTCGTCTAAGCCCTGAAGTTTATTTTTTTTAAGATTTTATTTTTTTGAGAAAGAGAGTGAGCACACACGTGCACACAAGCAGGGGGAGCAGCGGAGGGAGAGGGAGAAGCAGACTCCCCGCCAAGCAAGGAGCCTGATGCAGGACTTGCTCTCAGGACCCTGCGATCATGACTTGAGCTGAAGCCAGACACTTAACCAACTGAGCCACCCAGGTGCCCCATAAGCCCTGAAGTTTAATTTGGTTCCTATTCTCCCTTGAGGAGCCAGGCCACTGATCCTAACAATTCCACTTCGTCTGCCTTCCTATGCCCAGAAAACTTCCTAGGGAGGATCAACGCTCATGGTATGGAAGTGAAATGGATTTCATCTTCTCTTTCCTTAGATTCTGACTGTCCAGACACTTTCTCTGCTTCTCCTCCCCCCAGTTTCTAAATATGGATGCCACCATGTGATAAGAGCCACCTACCAGAAGCACAAACCGACTTTGTTAAAACAAAAACCTATTTGGCCAGAGTCCCTTCTTTACGTAGCTTCTCCTTAACCTTCACAATGCAGGAAGGGAGTGAAGGGGGTACCACAATTAACTATGATATTTTCCAGATAGACTATGGCATATATAGATCAAGAAGATTCAAGCAAATCATTAATAAACTATTAGAGCACATGCCCTATGTTGACTAATTTCTCATTCTGAAATTGGAAAGTCTTAATTTTTTGAGTTGTACTCAAATATCAGTCCATGATCACACACACACTCCTTCCCCAGGTGCCAACTCAGGGTTTTAAAAATGTCTACCACTCTCTGCCAAGGTGTTGGTCTGATGTTGCTTCTGGATGAAGCCAGTAGTACCTAGTGCACACCTGTACTTTGGCTGCTGAAAGTTTGTAGTAAAAGTACAGGCAGAGTAGGGATAAGGTATAAATAAAGAGCCTCCTGAATGCTTTGGGCTGCTCTGGAACTCCAGAGACCATTATAAATCCAGGAAGTTATAGTGAAGTTGCTAGAAAAATGTTTCAATAGAAGTATAAGGCATTATGTCAGTGCCTTTAAATAGTTTCTACTTCTGTCCACTGAAATGACCTAGAAGCAAAGATACTTCATTAACAATGAACACATATAGTGCTCAATTTAGAATCAAGGTATCAAACTAATCCAGGGGTTAATTTTAACATCACTAAGCATGAGACAGCCAGAAAATATCTGCCCCTGATGTGATCTGCTCCTCCAGAGAAGAACCAAGTTAAAAACATTTTTAAAAAGGGCCACCTGGGTTGCTCAGTTGGTTAAGTGTCAGACTCTAGATTTTGGCTCAGATCATGATCTTCAGGGTTGCGAGATCAAACCCCGTGTCAGGCTCCATGCTGGGTGTGGAGTCTGCTTAAGAGTCTCTTTCTCCCACTCCCTCTGTCCCTACCTTCCCCCTCCCCCTCTAAAAAAACATTTTTAAAAATCTCTATCTCATCTTTCCATGACCATTACTCATTAGAGAGTCTGGGACAAAGTACGTAACCAATGTATGTCTGTTGAGTTGAATTGATAATTGATAGATAAAAAGATGCAATGATGGAAGCAATACTATTGGTTAGAATCTGGAGGTCACAGTGAGAACCACTCAACCCCTCATGCTTGCATTAGTGGTCTACAACTTCTCTGAAATATATGAGGCTGTTTGATAGTCTTCCAAATTAAGTTGCAGAAAGTCTGTTTCTTTCTACTGATAGAATCTACTGATAACGATAAACTTGCTATGTTTCCTTGAGTGAACAATGGGTATGGAAAGGACAATTTTATCCCTTCTTGCTTAGGTGCTGAATATGAGGATCAGACCAGCCAAAAGGAGAAGGAAGATGATAAAGTCATTCCTGGTGAAAGCCATACTTATGTCTGGCAGGTCCTGAAAGAGAACGGTCCAATGGCCTCTGATCCACCATGTCTCACCTACTCGTATTTTTCTCATGTGGACCTGGTGAAAGACCTGAATTCAGGCCTCATTGGAGCCCTGCTGGTTTGCAAAGAAGGTAAGTGTGAGAAAGGGTAGGACTCAAATCAAATAAGCATGGAAGTATAAACATCTGGGTCAATTATTAAAGCATTTGTGTTCTTCCATTTAAAGGAGGTTCTTTTTCCTTGCAACATGCCCATGGAAAGAAAATACTACATTCAGTGGGCTATCTCAGTAGTGCCTTTTGTAAATTTTGTGTTATGTTCCCTGAAAGCTTTCTGGAGATAAACACATCCAACTGTGTCATCTGTATCTCAAAAGCATTTAAAAATTGGAGAAAAGCAGGGTGCCTAGGTGGCTCAGTCAGTTAAGTCCAACTGTTGATTTCAGCTCAGGTCTTAATCTCAGGGTCGTGAATTCAAGCCCCACATTGGGCTCTGCATTGGGCTCTGTGCTGGGCGTGGAGCCTACTGTAAAAAAAAATAGGAGAAAAGCAAATATCTATAACTTGTTATTCTAAAAATTATCTTAAATTTAATTAAACCTGGGGCACCTGGGTGGCTCAGTGCTGATCCCATTGTCCTGGGATTGAGCCCCACATCGGGCTCCCTGCTCAGCAGGGGGCCTGCTTCTCCATCTCCCTCTGCTGTTCCTCCTGCTTGTGCTCACTCTCTATCAAATAAATAAATAAATAAAATCTTTAAAAAATTTAATTAAACCTGTTTTTTTTAAAAGATTTTATTTATTTATTTGAGAGAGAGAAACACAGCTAGAGAGGGAACACAAGCAGGGGGAGTGGGAGAGGGAGAGGGAGAAGCAGGCTTCCCACGGAGCAGGGAGCCTGACATGGGGCTCGATCCTAGGACCCTGGGATCATGACCTGAGCCAAAGGCAGACGCTTAACGACTGAGCCACCCGGGCGCCCCTAATTAAACCTGTTTTTAATTTATAGTTTAATAGCATACACTAAATTAGGGAAGTAAACATTGCAGAATTTTCTTTAATTCTAAGTTTTTAATAGTGAAATCAGCTTCATGGGACGTTTTTTTCCTTTGACTATTACTGCATGTCCCCATAATTTAGTGGCTAAAAATGACAGTCATCATTTATCATTTTTCATGGTTTTTGTGGGTCTCTCATGGAATTTGGGAGTATGTTTACTTGGTGGTCTGTCTCAGGATTTCTTTTTTTATTTGCTCTAGCTATTTATTTATTTATTTATGAGAGTGCAAGGGTGTGTGTGCATGTGCAGGGATGGGCAGAGGGAGAGGGAGAGAGAGAATCCTCAAGCAGACTCCCTGCTGAGCACGGAGTCCAACTCGGGGCTTGATCCCATGACCCATGAGATCATGACCTGAGCTAAAATCAAGATTCAGATGCTTAACCGACTGAGCCACCCAGGTGCCCCAAAATGCCGTAGCCCTTTAGCCTCTCCCCAAGGCTTTCTACTCCCTGCCTTGAAACCTTGCCTTTGGAAGAGGAAGAGAAAGGCAGGAAGAAGCACCAGATCTGAGGCACCTGGGTGGCTCAGTCGTTAAGCGTCTGCCTTCATTCGGCTCAGGTCATGATCCCGGGGTCCTGGGATCGAGCCCCGCATCGGGCTCCCTGCTCGGCGGGAAGCCTGCTTCTCCTTCTCCCACTCCCCCTGCTTGTGTTCCCTCTCTCGCTGTGTCTCTCTCTTCCAGATAAATAAATAAAATCTTTAAAAAAAAAAAAAAAAAGCAGCAGCAGATCCCTGGCCAGACTGGAGACCTTATATGAGCCACTCTACCTCTCAGAATGACAGCCGGATCTGCAGTCCTCTTGCAGCCCACTGTCTGATGAGGTTGTAGTCAAATAGTGCTGGAGCCAAGGTCATCCTGAATGAAACTTTATTCACATGTCTGGCACCTGGGCTTGGAAACTCAAATAGCTGGAGCTTTCCACAGGGTCTTTTCAGCATGGGAGCTACAGGGTAGCCAGAAGTTTTTTTCCTTTTAAATGGACTCTGTTTTTAGAATAGTTTAGGTTTACAGCAAAACTGAGCAGAAAGTACAGAGAATTCCCAAATACCACCTGTCTGCCACCCACACACAGCCTGCCCCACTATCAACATCCTGTTACAATTGGTGAACCTACACTGACATATCATTATCAACCAAAGTCCATACTTTACATGAGGGTTCACTCTTGTTGGTTTGCAGTCTACAGGTTTGGACAAATGTAGAATGACATGTATCCACCATTATAGTATCATACAGAATAGTTTCACTATTCTAAAAATCCTCTGTGTCCCCACCTATTCATCCTTTCCTGTCCCACCCCCTAGCAACCACTGATTTTTTAAATTGTCTCCATAGTTTTGCCTTTTCCAGAATGTGAAATAGTTGAAATTATACAGTATGTAGCCTTTTTATATTGGCTTCTTCCACTTAGTAATATGCATTTAGGTTTCCTCCATGTCTTCTCATGGCTTGATAGCTTTTTTCTTATTAGCACTGAATAATATTCTGTTGTCTGGATGGACCACAGTTTATTTATCTACTCACCAATGAAGGACATCTTGGTTGCTTCCAAGTTTTAACAGTTATGAATAAAGCTGCTATAAACATCCATGTGCAGGTTTGTATGCATACATAGTTTTCAACCCCTTTGGGTAAATGCCAAGGAGCACAGTTGCTGGATCCTATGGCAAGAGTATGCTTTCTTTTGTAAGAAACTGCCAACCTGTTTTCCAAGGTGGCTGTATCATTTTGTATTCCCAGCAGCAATGAATGAGACTTCCTGCTCTTCCTCATGCTCACCAGCTTTTGGTGTTGCCAGCATTTTGGAATTTGGCCAGTCTTATAAGTATGTAGTGGTATCAAATTGCTGTAATTTGCATTTCCGTGATAACATATGATGTGAAGCATGTTTTTATTTTTAAATTTTTATTTATTTATTTGAGAGAGAGAGAAAACACAAGCAGGGTGGAGGGGCAGAGGGAGAGGGAAAAGCAGACTGCCTGCTGAGCAGGGAGCCTAACATGGGGCTCAGTCTCAGGACCCCAAGTTCATGACCTGAGCCAAAGTCAGATGCTTAACTGACCAAGCCACCCAGGTGTCCCGTGAAGCATGTTTTTATATGCTTATTTGCCCTCTGTATATCTTCTTTGTTGAGGTGTCTGTTCAGGTCTTTTTCCCATTTTTAAATCAGATTGTTCTCTTATTGAGTTTTAAGAGTTCTTTGTGTATTTTGGATAACAGTCTATCAGATTATGTCTTTTGTAAATATTTTCTCTCAGTCTTTGGCTTGTCTTCTCTTTCTCCTTAGTAGCCAGATCTTTTATGTGGTTGCTCATGCAGTCTTTTATATGGTCCCTTTTTTAACCTGGCCTCAAGTTACACAGCATCCCTTCTGCCTCACTGTGTGGCCAGCGCATAAAGGGGGAGGGGAATTAGACTCCACCTTTTGATGGGAGAATAAGCAAAGAATTTGTGAACATGAACCACCATTTCTGGATGATGATGATGATTATGATTCCAAAAGAACAAGAGGGGAGGGAATAGAAGACGACCAGAAGAATTTGTACTAGTTTCATTTGGAAGTATTATCTCTTATATAATAAGTTCTGTTTCATAGTCATAATTTATGACAAAGTGTTACAACCACAGTGTGTTATTTGTGAGATACATAGTTTAATAAAACAATAAAGTCATCGGGGCACCTGGGTGTCTCAGTTACTTAAGCATCCAACTCTTGATCTCAGCTCGGGTCTTGATCTCAGGGGCGTGAGTTCAAGCTCCATGTTGGGCTCTGCACTGGATGTGGAGCCTACTTAAAAAATAATAATAAATAAATAAATAAAATAATCATCAAAACATGTTTACCTATAAAATATAAATAAATAAATTTAAAATTAAAAGGATTATTTGGCAGAAAATTGACTTAAAAAGTCAACACAGAGGCACCTGGCTGGCTCAGTCAGTGGAGCATGCAACTCTTGGTCTCGGGGTTCTAAGTTTGAGCCCCACATTGGGTATAGAGATTACTTAAAAGTCAAATCTTTATTAAAAAATTAAATTTAAATTAAATTTAAATTAATTTTAAAAAAAGTCAACAGAGGTTCTAAATACCTTTATACCTTTATCTCCCATTCACTCAACTATAGAACCTTGACAAAATGCATAGCCAGCCATTTGAGAATCCTAAAAATCAAATAGAACAAACAGGTCAGGAAAAGGCATCAGAATTTAAAGTACCACCAAACTGGTGGAGAATTTCTCTTTTTATTCCCCTTCAGAATTCCTCAAATGGGCAAAGGATGTGAATAGATATTTATGGGGAGGGAAAGATATAGATATGGTTAACAAGTATGTCAAAAGGTGCTCAACATCACTAATCATCAGGAAAAGGCAAATCAAAACCACAAAGAGAGATCACCTCACACCTGTCAGAATGGCTAAAAGCAACAACACAGGAAACAACTGGTGTGGTGAGGATGCGGAGAAAGGGGAACCTCTTACACTCTTGGTGGGAATGCAAACTGGTGCAGCCACTCTGGAAAACAGTATGGAGGGTCCTCAAAAAGTGAAACATAGAACTACCCTATGACCCAGCAATTGCACTACTAGGTATTTACCCCAAAGAATACAAAAATACAGATTCGAAGGGATATATGCACCCCAGTGTCTATAGCAGCATTATCTGTTATAGCCAAATTATGAAAAGATCTCCATCCATTCATCAAATCAACTGATGGATGGATAAAAAAGATGTGGTGTGTGTGTGTGTAGGAATGTTATTATATAGTGGACTATTACTCAGCCATAAAAAAGAATGAAATCTTGCCATTTACAATGACAGGGATGGAGCTAGAGAGTATAATGCTAAGTGAAATAAGTCAGAGAAAGACAAATACCATATGATTTCGCTTGTGAAATTTAAGAAACAAAACATATGAGCAAATGGGGAAAAAAGGAAACAAAGAGGCAAACCAAGAAAGAGGCTTAACTACAGAACAAACTGATGGTTACCAGAGAGGAGGTGGGGGGGGATGAGTTGCATACGTGATGGGGATTAAGGAGGACACTTGTGGTGAGCACTGGGTGCTGTATGGAGGTGTTGAATCACTATATTGTACACCTGAAACTAATATTACACTGTATGTTAACTAACTGGAATTTAAATAAATCTTTAAAAAATTAGTATTCTATATACTTTCAATGAATAACTGGAAACCAAAATGTAAGAAAGAATGTTAACAATAGCTCCAAAAATGGAAACTTTAGGTATAAATCTAACAAAACATGTACACTGTCTGTATGGTGAAAACTACAAAGTGAAAGAAGTCAAACAGAGAGACATACTGTTTGTGTACTGTAAGATTCAGCATAGTAAAGATCTCCGTTCTCCACAGTCTGTAGATTCTCAGCAAGATTTTTTTGTGGTCACAGACAAGCTGATTCTGAAATTTATATGAAAAAGCAAAAGTACTAGATTAGTGGGGCGCCTGGGTGGCTCAGTCGTTAAGCATCTGCCTTCAGCTCAGGTCATGATCCCAGGGTCCTGGGATCAAGCCCCACATCGGGCTCCCTGCTCGGCGGGAAGCCTGCTTCTCCCTCTCCCACTCCCCCTGCTTGTGATCCCTCTCTCGCTATGTCTCTCTCTGTCAAATAAATAAATAAAATATTTTTAAAATTACTAGATTAGCTAAAATGATTTTGCAAAAGAATAAATTTGGAGTAATAATCCTACTCAATTTTGCAATTTACTATAAAGCTGTTGTAATCATAACATGTGTTAGTTAACAGAATAGACCTGTAGATCAATGAAATAGAATAGAAGTCCAGAAATAGATCCACACAAGTGAGCCCAGTTGATTTGGTGCAAAAACAACTCAGAGGAAGCGTCTTTTCAACAAATGGTGTTGGAACAATTGGACATCTATATGCAATGATCCTTAGACCTTACTAGTTATACAAAGAGTAACTCAAAATGAATTGTAGCTCTAAATGTAATATGTACAACCATAACACTTGTCTTCATGACCTATGAACACCTCCTTCATGACCTGGGGTTAAGAGAAGGGTTCTGAGAAAACATCACAAACACAGTCCATAAAAGAAAAAATTGATAAATGTGACTTCATCGACATTAATAATTTTTGCTTTTGTAATAAAAAAACTGGTTTTTTTTTAAAGATTTTTTAAATTTATTTTTTGACAGAGACAACGAGAGAGGGAACACAAGCAGGGGGAGTGGGAGAGGGAGAAGCAGGCTTCCCGCTGAGCAGGGAGCCCGATGTGGGGCTCCATCCCAGGCCCCTGGGATCATGACCTGAGCCGAAGGCAGACGCTTAACGACTGAGCCACCCAGGCGCCCCAAAAAAACACTGTTAAGAGAATGAAGAGACAAGCTACAGAGTGGGAGGAAATATTTGCCAATCACATATCTGGCAAAGGACTGATGTGATATATATAAAAAATATATTCACAATAACCAAGATATTTTTATATGTTTTATATATGTATTATACATGTGTATTATATATGTATGTATTATATATAAAACATTTTATTTTATAAAACATGCTCTCAAATCTCAACAATAAGGAAAAAAATCCATTTTTTAATGGGCAAAGTATTTGAGTAGATAATTCACCAAAGAAGATATACAAGTGCCAAATAAATACATGAAAAGATGTCCAATATCATTGGCCATTATGGAAATGCATATTAAAACCACAATGAAATACTGCTACATATCTATTAGAATACCTAATGTAATAATTTAAAAATTGTTAAGAATACTGTCAAGAATGCAGACCAACAGGAAGTCTCATACATCATTGCTGGGGATTCAGTATAGCCACTCTGGAAAACAGTTTGGCAGTTTAATATTGTGATTTAAATAAAATATATATTTGGTTTTCATCTCCTTCCTGATAGAGCTTCTAAAACCCTTGAGATTTTTCTATAATGAGAGCAATAAAGATGCCTTTGGTTTTGTTAATGAGGTGATTTTTGGACCATATACCTAAGGATGGGGGCTGATTGCCAGTAGGGTCAAGCAAGTGATTAAAGGGCTGGAATTTTCAGTCTCACCCACTCTAAACCCCCACTCCACCAGGAGGAGAGAGAGGGACTGAGTATTGAGGTCAGTTGCCAGTGGCTAATGATTTAATCAATTATGCCTATGTAATGAAGCTTCCGTAAAAAAAAAACGAACAAAAGGATGGGGTTCAAAGAGCTTCCAGGATGGTGAACACAAGGATATTTGAGGAGAGTGGCATACCTGGAGAGGGCATGGGAGCTCTGCATCTTTTCCCCGTAACTTGCCCTACACATCTCTTCCATCTGGCTGTTTCTTAGTTATATCTTTTTTGAATGAACTGGTGATCTACTAAGTAACGTGTTTCTCTGAGTTCTGTGAGCTGCTCTAGCAAATTAATGGAACCCAAGAAGGGAGTTTTTGGAACCTCTGATCTGTAGAGGTTGGTCAGAAGCACAGGGAAGTCTGGTAGAACTGAGCCCTTAACCTGTGGGAATCTACACCATCTCCAGGGAAATAGTTTCAGAATTAAGTTAAAATGTAGGACACCCAGCTGATGTCATAGAATTGCTTGGTGGTAGGGAAAAACCCATGTACACTGGAATTGGTGTCACAATTATAGGCAATTTCTTATAAAGGTAAATATATATTTAATTTCCATTCCTGAGTATTTACCCCAGACAAATGAAAACTTAATATTCACATAAAAATCTGTACGTACATTAATGTTCACAGCAGCTTTATTTGTAATAGCCAAGAACTGGAAACAACCTAAATGCCCTTCAACAAGTGAATGGTTAAACAAACTGTAGTACATCCATACCATGAAATACTCCTCATCAATATAACAAAATGAAATACTGATAGATGCAACAAAATAGATGAATCTCAAAGGCATTATACTGAGTAAAGAAGCCAATCTCAAAAGGTTCTATATTGTATGGTTCCATTTATGTGACAATCTCAAAAATACAAATATATTGCAATGGGGAACAGATCAGTGGTTGCCAAGTGTATGACCATATGTGTGACTGTCTCTCTCACTATGACTATATATGTGTCTATAAAGGGATAGAAGGAGGGAGTTTTTTGGGATGTTGGAACTGTTCTGTGTCCTGATGGTTAGTGGTTTCATGAATCTATACCTGTGTTAAGGCCCATGACTTATACACCAAAAGTAAAAGTCAGTTTCACTACTTGGTAATTTTAAAAATAAAATAAAAAGAATTCAAATGTTTTCAGACAGCTTTACCTATATTTTAAATTTGTATAGGTGAGTTACTTTCTTCATCCAATCGAAGATTTACTTTCAAGTGTCAAGGGTACAAGAAAAAAGGAGAATGTCATAAACAAAAATCTTCCTGCTTAAAGTAAGCCTGCAAAGAAAATTTCCCAAAGAAGAAATACAATGCTAAGAAAGACAACCAACAAATTCAATAATTAAAGCATGAAGCAAGTTCATTTGTAACATTAACAACTTGAAATATTGGTATACATGGTGTTCACTTAAAGTGTGATTGTAGGGGTTTAATATCGATCATTGTTATTTTGGTCATAATACTTTGCAAAAGTAAAAAAAGTTAAAAGCATAATAGAAATTATTTATATTTGCCTATATGCACACTTACCATGAACAGCATTTACAGTTTTTGCAATTTTCCTCTTTTAAGTTTGTTCTGAATACATGTATATATACGTATATGAAATATGATTATATGGGCTTATATTTTGCATGTTTCTTTAATTTCATTTTCTGAGTAATTCATTTTTCTTGTATTTTACATAAATACTGGTCTGCAACAAATTTGAAATGAAAAAAGTCGTTTACCCCAAATAGAAGAACTGGTATAGGACACCTGACACCAAAGAAGCAATACTATGGTAAAGTTAACAGGAGACCAAGAGACAAAGCAGTAGATGAAGTGATGTCTCCTCCTAGTGTTGATTTCCTATGACAGGATTCTCAATAGAAGATAAATGTTCTCACTTCTTTTTCAGGTAGTCTGGCCAAAGAAAGGACACAGACCTTGCATGAATTTGTACTACTTTTTGCTGTATTTGATGAAGGTTAGTGAGCTGCAATCTGAATTTGGGGCTCCTAAAAAAATAGAATATATTAATTTAATCTGGTATTTGAGAATGAGGGCTGCTATTGTCCAGAGGAAGTGATTATAGAAAGATCATAAACTGTTCAGGAATGAAGGAAGTGGGGATGGAACTGAATTTCCAGAAAAAATAGAGCCTGAGTTCCATTGGGAGCTATCAGGTAAGAAGATAGAGGAGCTGGGTAACAGGCTGGGTTTATCCCCCTCATTAAATCCATTAACAAAGACTTTTAGCTCTAATTTTTAAATACTTCCTTTTATCTTTTTTCATTATTATTATGTTATGTTAATCACCATACATTACATCATTAGTTTTTAATGTAGTGTTCCATGATTCATTGTTTGTGTATAACACCCAGTGCTCCATGCAGAACGTGCCCTCTTTAATACCCAACACCAGGCTAACCCATCCCCCTACCCCCCTCCCCTCTTATCTTTTTTTAGAAAATTTTATTCATTTTTTAATTTAAATTTTAAAAAGATTTTTGGTTGAAGTATAGTTGACATCTGTTAGTTTCAGGTGTAGAGAATAATGATCCGATTATATATATTATGAAATGCTCACCATAGTAAGTGTATTGCAGTAGTATTGAATTGCAGTAGTATTGACCATATTCCCTAGGCTGTACTTTCATCCCTGTGATTTACTTGTTTTATAACTGGAAGTCTGTACTTCATTAACCCCTTCACCTACTTGCCCATCTCCCAACCCCCACCACCCCTCGTCAACCACCAGTTTGTTCTCTGTGTTTGTGGGTCTGTTTCTGCTTTGTCTGTTTTGTTTTTTAGATTCTACGTAAAAGTGAAGCCATACAGTATTTCTCTTTCTCTGACTTATTTCACTTAGCATAAGTGAAATACTCTCTAGGTCCATTTATGTTGCTGCAAATGGGAAGATCTCATTCTTTTATGTATATATACACACACATACCACCTGTTCTTTATCCATTCATCTATGGATGGACACTTTGGCTGCTTCCATATCTTGGCTATTGTAAATAATGCTGCAGTAAACATAGGGGTACATATATCCCATCGAATTAGTGGTTTTGTATTTTGGGGGTAAATACCCAGAAGTGGAATTACTGGATCATAGAGTAGTTCTATTTTTCATGTTTTGAGGACCCTCCATACTGTTTTCCACAGTGTCTGCACCAGTTTGCACTCCCAACAGTAGTGCACAAGGCTTCCTTTTTCTCCTCATCCTTGCCAACACCTGTTATCTCTTGTCTTTTTGATACTAGCCATTTTTGAGTAATGTGAGGTGGTATCTCATTGCAGTTTTGATTTGTATTTCCCTGATGATTAGTAATTTGGTTGAGCATCTTTTCATGTGTCTTTTTAAGACAAATTTTTTTAAAAAATGAATATTTAAGGGGTACAATATGATGATTTGATATATGAAAGATAATAAAATGATTACTATAGTCAAGCTAATCAATATATGTCTCCTCACATAGTTACCATTTTTTGTGTGTGATGAGTGCACCTATAACCTACTCCTTTAGCATATTTTCAATGTTCAATACAGTATTATTAACTGTAGTTATCACACCTGTATAGTAGATCCCTGGAACTTACTCATCTTAAAACTGAAAGTTTGGGAGCACCTGAGTGGTGCAGTTGAGTGTCCAACTCTTGGCTTCATCTCAGGTCATGATCTCAGGATTATGAGATTGAGCCTCTGTGTCAGACTCTGTGCTCAGCACGAAGTCTGCTTGAGGATTCTTTCTCTCCCCCTCTCTCTCTTCCCCTCCCCCTCTCTAAAAAAATAAATAAATCTAAAAAAGTACTGAAAGTTTGTACTCTTTAGACAATAATTCCCCATTTCCCCCACCCCTCTGCTCCTGGCAACCAGCATTCTGCTCTGTGCTTCTGTGTGGTAAGTTACTTAAACTCTTTGTGTCTCAGTTTCCTCAAATTGAAAATTGAAATAATAATACTTTCTTCATAGGATAGTTGTGGGGATTAAGTAAGTGATTTAAATTAAGTAAATTAGAACATTATGTGGTGCAGAGCTTCTGCCACCTCCTCCTCCTAATATAAGCAACAGCGTGATCATCTTCTCTCCCATCTTATCCTCCCACACTGCCTCTTCTGAATTGAGGACCTCATCATCCTTCTCCTGACTAGTCTCCCTGTCTTTTTGTGTCCCCACTGTACAGTTTGTATCACACTGAAACATACCATGCTCTTTCTTGCATCCAGATCCTTGTTTATGCTGTTACCTCTGCCTAGAAAGCCTGTCTGCACCTTCACACCAAGTTAAGTATTTCCTTCTCCTTCCAGTCTGCATTTTACATTTATACATTTCCACAGCACCTGGAGTTTCCTCCTTATCACATTAAATCATCATTGCCTGCTTCTTTGATTTTATATCCCTTTCCCTTCAAGTCAAGTGAAGTCCCTTCTCCTCTCTGCATCTGTATTAGCCTGTTCTAATCTGTTACATTACTCTCCACTCTGTTATAATTGTCAATTTCTCTATTCAAGCTAAATTGTAAGCACCTTGAAGGCAGAGACTGTGTCTTCTCTGTCCTCAGTGCCTAGCACTCAGTAGTGCTCGGTAAATATGTTTGGATGAATGAACGAATCAGTAGATGAACAGATAAAGGAACTTAATTTCAGGGAGGTGGGTGGAAAGCTTTCAGGTTCTTGAGTTTTCATTACTACAATCTGAATGAAGCAATTAGGATGAGGACAGGGACTGAGAGCCCTTTTCTAAGATGATTTTCATCTGCTCCCTTTTAAATGAGTCAATGAATAGAATGAAGTCCTCATGGCACAGACTAACCGATATTCTCCCTTCTAGTTACCATTTGCCATCATCCCTTCCCATCTACTGTCATGGACAAATATAGGGAGAGATAATCAATTTGAGCAAGAAATTTCTGCCTTTTGGTAATTGTCTTCTGCCTTTTCTCTTACTGACTTTGAGAGCAAGTCATCCATGCCTACTGTACTGACAAAAGTGCTTAAGGTGTGAGCACTCTTTGACCCATGGGAGGGAGGGAAGGAGAGAGGGAGAGTGATTCATGAGACAGACACTTAGCTGGCCCTATATTTGCCTCCTCTCTCATCAGGGAAAAGTTGGCACTCAGAAACAAATGAGCCTTTGACACAGGCTTTGGATCCTGCATCTGCTCAGGCCCAGCATGAAATGCACACAGTCAATGGCTATATAAACAGGTCTCTGCCAGGTATGTACACACCTGCTCAAGAATCCTCAGGGTCAGGGCATCTGGGTGGCGCAGCCGCTTAGGCGTCTGACTCTTGGTTTCAGCTCAGGTCATGATCTCAGAGTCAGGAGATGGAGCCCTGCTTTGTGTGCCACCCTCAACGGGGAGTCTGCTTGAGAACCTTTCCCTCCCCGCCTGCCCCTTCCTCCATGCATGCTCATGCACTCTCTCAAATAAATAAATAAATAAATATCTTAAAAAAAAAAAAAAAAAAAAGAATCCTCAGGGTCTTCTGCATTCACCACCAGAGCTCTCTTCTCTGGTTCTCCTCAGACAGCTCTGTATCCCCAGAGGAAAGAAAGCCCACTGAATTCTGGCCTCTGGTGGGGGCTTAAACTGAAGTGGCTGATTCTTCTTCCAGTGACCTAAAAATGAAGCCCTGCCCATGAACACAGAGCTCACAGATTTCTCTTTCCTTTTGCTTAAATATAGGTGAACAGCCAAGGATGAACAAATATTTAAGGGAAACCTGAAACATGAAAGAGATATGCAAAGATAAACAAAAAAATAATAATCCCAGAAGAAAAAGAGATAATACTTAGAAGAAAACTTGTCAAAAGGTCTACTTAGTATTTTCATAAAGATTCAAGAAGATACTGCATCAATAAAGTAATAATATGATTCTATGAAAAGAAACAATTAAACCAAGAGTATGCTAACAAAAGTTAGGAATATGACTGTGAAAATACAAACTCAATAGAAGGTAGTTAGAATAGAGAAAATCTCCCAGAAAGTAAAACAAAAAGAGATTTGGAATACATTTTAAAACAGATTTTAAAAAGCAAAGAAATGATAGAAGAAAGTGTTAAGGATGAAAATATTTGAGTTTTCATACTCAAATTTCCCAGCAGGATAAATAAAAAAAGATCCCCACACAAAATTATGATTGTGGAATTTCAGAGAACAAAGAGAAGATGTTAAAGCTTCCCCTGGGAAAAACAGGTCCCATACAAAGGCATGAGAATTAAATTGGCAATACCATTCAGGGCTTTCTAGGCCTTACTAGAGAGTTTGGATTTGAGACAGACAAGAGATAATGGTAGCTAGCTTGAATTAAGATGTGGGGGTAGTAATGATGGTGAAAAAATATGTATATTTGAAAGCTTCAGGAGGCAAAATATGAGACAGCTGTGCCCTAGTAGTTAACAGTGTAAGATCTAAACATACAGCTGCTTGGGTTCCAATTTGAACTGGGCATCAGGATCCTCTCCTGATAACAATAGTTTCTACATTCATGTGATTACTGGAGTTGAATGAGTTAAAACTTGTAAAATAGTTTGGACAGTGCTTGATATAAAACAAGTGCTCAGTAAATATTAGTATTATTAATTGTATTGTCATAATTAGTATCAGACTGGATTTAGGAAGTGAGAGTGGTGAGAAGAATAACTCTCACTTGCATAATTTTGATATTATTCAAAGATAAAATATTTATTAACAAGAGAATAAGCCTAGGGCTGAGTCCTAGGTGATCCGCCATTTAATGAAGGGTCAGGAAAGGAGGCAGAAGAGGGAGCTATCTAAACAACAGGGGAACAAAACCCAGAGAGGTGTTGGCACAGAGGACAAGGGAGGAAGAGAATCTCAAGAAGGAATGAGTGGTCACCAGGTGCAGATTACTGAAAAGTGTCCATTGGATTTAGCAGCACGACACTCATTGCAGACCTTGGCAAGAGCTATTGGTTTGGCATCCTCGGAAAGTTTGGTTCCAAGTTAGTAATAAAATTTGAAGGTCAATTTGTCTATCCTATTCTAGAAAGTGTTTTCCATTTCAAATTCTCTACTTCTTGACCATAACTGTCTTATTTTCCCATGTTACAGGTCTGACTGGATGTCACAAGAGATCAATCTATTGGCATGTGATTGGAATGGGCACCACCCCCGAAGTGCACTCAATTTTTCTAGAAGGTCACACATTTCTTGTGAGGAATCACCGCCAGGCCTCCTTGGAGATCTCACCAATAACTTTCCTTACTGCTCAGACATTCCTGATGGACCTTGGCCAGTTTCTACTGTTTTGTCATATCCCTTCCCACCAACATGGTAATATCTCTTGATCTTAAAAACGAGTATTATAAATATTCAGCTCTTCTTTTACTGTCCACTGTCCATTATAAGATTTTACCTTGGATGTAAGAGGGCTTGAGTGTTAGTAGTACTGGTGAATTTTTAGTTTAAATGACTATAATAGCGGAGGGGGGACATTTTAGGGACGAATGAGGTGGTGAAAGTGGGGAGGACAGTGTATCATTGGTTTCCTGGCCAGATCCAATCAACTGGCTTCAGTGCTATGGAGAGAGGGATTGTAGATCATACCTAAAGAGATGGGGTTTTTTTTTTTAAGATTTTATTTGCTTATTTGACAGAGAGAGACACAGCGAGAGAGGGAACACAAGCAGGGGGTAGTGGAAGAGGGAGAAGCAGGCTCCCTGCTGAGCAGAGAGCCCGATGTGGGGCTCGATCCCAGGACCCTGAGACCATGACCTGAGCTGAAGGCAGATGCTTAACCAACTGAGCCACCCAGGCACCCCTGAAGAGATGTTTTTGAGAAATTTAAGGAAATAAAAAAAGTCCAGCATTGTCTAGGTTGTAACCATAAGGGCTGCGGGCTAGCAGTAGTGATGCCCAGAGGATATTGCAGTACTCACTATGAAACACCAGACTACTGGTGTACATAGAGGCACTCCATCAATACCTGGAAGGAGATGAGAGACATGGGAAATATAGAGCCTGTCGGGGATAGCAGACACTGGGAGAAGCAATGTGGGAGTGGAAGTTGGTGAGCATATGTGAAACACCACGTGAGGTTTTCAAAGACTTCTTAATGAGGACTTTGCAAAGGGTTAAAGGTCCTGTCTAAGCAAGTTGGGACAGTAATACGGTTTCAAATTATCATTAATGTGACCTCATTTGTAGCTACAGACTGAAAATTCATATAACATGATCATCCCACCCCCATTTTCCTTCTTGTATATTTACTCTGCTAACTCTTTTTTCTTTTTTTAAAGACTCTATTTATTTATTTGACAGAGAGAGACAGTGAGAGAGGGAACACAAGCAGGGGGTAGTGGGAGAGGGAGAAGCAGGCTCCCCACTGAACAGAGAGCCCGATGCGGGGCTCGATCCCAGGACCCTGGGACCATGACCTGAGCCGAAGGCAGACGCTTAACGACTGAGCCACCCAGGCGCCCCAACTCTGCTAACTCTTTTTTTTTTTTTTTAAGATTTTATTTATTTATTTGAGACAGAGAGAATGAGAGAGAGAGAGCACATGAGAGGGGGGAGGGTCAGAGGGAGAAGCAGGCTCCCTGCCAAGCAGAGAGCCCAATGCGGGACTCGATCCAGGGACTCCAGGATCATGACCCGAGCCGAAAGCAGTCACTTAACCAACTGAGCCACCCAGGCGCCCAACTCTGCTAACTCTTAATGTTGGATCAATCTAACATTCCTCTTAGTCTTCTCCTCTGTTGTGGCCCATGAGGGTTATTGGAGAAAAACATTGAGGAGGCCTAATCTTTCGTGTCTAACAGCACTTGTTTGTTCTAGCACTCTTGTATTATCCCTCTCTTCAGATTACTTGCTTGCCTTGGAGAAGAGATTTGATCTTGCCATGCATCCACCATTTTCTCATGTTCTGTGAGTGACCTTGTTTGTAGTGCTCTGTAGTGATGAAGAATAGGGACCTCTTTTCCTCATCTGTTACATAATTTTATGGGACTTTTGACAAGATGTTAGGGGACAAAGGAAGTTGATCCTATAGGCACAGAGGAACAGGTCATTTACTTGTATGCAAGTTGGTTGTTATCTAGTTTGAGGAATTTATGTTTTATTTTATTATTTTGACTTTTTCCCACTGATTTTAATTGTCATTTTTTCAGAAAAATGCTTTGTCTTGTTGGACCGCAGACAAATCCTTTCATTTTTAGATCTAGAAGGAATTATGTTTAAAGCTGCATGAACCCCAAACTACTTGTTTGCTGCTCCTGAAATCTACCATATTCCCCATCCTCTAGTAAATAGGTCTGCCTTCTTAGTATTGATTTTCAAAATAGCCCTATAGCATAGATTGGGTGGGAATTATTACTATCCACTTATTATAAAGCTAAAGATGAGATTGAAATTGTTGAATAGACTTGCTGTAGGGCTTATAACTAGTCACAGGCAGACATGCTCTTAAAATATATAGCATATATTTCCTTAACTCTAAGTTGTACCTTTTCACGTTTTTATGAACTTGAAATGTCTTAAAATTTATATCTACACTGACATTTTTCCTAGTAAACTTATTAAATCAATGGTTTGTATCATAATTCAGTGGAGTACTGGTAACTGGCAGAATGGGGAGTTGGTTTGACCTAGGCATCCAAATGCTGAAAATATAGTTTCTCAAGTCTACTTGTTTATAATTAGAGAATTGGAGAGTGATATGTTCAGAGCCAATTCCAGAAGGAAAATATTCATACATATTATAAGAGCAAATGAGTGAGTCTTGAAAGAAGGATAAAACATATACTGGAGGAGAGTCAGGCAGAAGGGAAATGGTGAGTGCAAAGATCATAGGAAGAAACCAGCAAGTACCAGCTACGGGGGAGGTAATCCCTATAGGAGAGTGACAAGATAAGGGTATAAGACTTGCCTCTCTTAAGAGAGGGTCTTGAAGGCCTAATGAGAGACAAAGAAGTTGTAGAAGTTAAGGCAAGTCTTATAGGAATCTGACATTGTTTGGTTTGTCTGACCTCAGGTGGTATGGAAGCTTATGTCAAAGTAGATAGCTGCCCAGAGGAACCCCAACTACGGATGAAAAATAATGAAGAAGAGGAAGATTATGGTGATCTTTATGACTCTGACATGGACGTGGTTAGCTTTGATGATGACAACTCCTCTCCCTTTATCCAAATCCGCTCAGTTGCCAAGAAGCATCCTAAAACTTGGGTCCACTATATTGCTGCTGAAGAGGAGGACTGGGACTATGCTCCCTCAGGCCCCCCCCCCAATGATAGGTAAGCAAGCACCTTTTAACTCTTGATATGAACTCTTCCTCATTTTTAAAAGGTTATTGCCAATTATTCAAAACAACAAATCTTCAAGCCATGTTTATTGTATTTACTTGTATTTTTCTCACGCCTTCTCATCGATTAAATCATTTCAGCTGTTTTAGAGCTGGATTTTAGCCACCTGTCCTCTACCTAGAATTCTCCATCCCAACATCTCATCTATTTGTGTCTCATGCAGAAGTTATAAAAATCTGTATTTGAACAATGGTCCTCAGCGGATTGGTAGGAAGTACAAAAAAGTCCGATTTATGGCATACACAGATGAAACATTTAAGACTCGTGAAGCTATTCAGTATGAATCAGGAATCCTGGGACCTTTACTTTATGGAGAAGTTGGAGACACACTGTTGGTAAGTTGAGGAAGAGGAATAAGGTTGGGTAATTATGAAGACAAAGTCTGGAGCATTTTGAGTTTCTAAAAGCTTCATAATTCAGTTTTGTGTTCCAATGGTTATGATCTTCTAAAAATTATGTTATACAAATAAATATAGATTATAAATTTGTTTTAAAAATATGAGTATATAGAATACAAATTTAATGCCACCCATTAAACCTGTCACCCCTTTGAAACACTTATTACATGGTCTTTGATACATATCCTTATATAATTTTTTTCCACTAATTATATAGTACAGGAATCATCAGACTGTGGCCTGTGAGCCTAATTTGGCTCATAGTGTGTTTTTGGACAGCCTGTGACCTTTCAGCCTGTGAAGGATTTTACCTTTTAATTTTTTTTTAAGATTTTATTTATTTATTTGAGAGAGTGAGCGAATGAGAGAGAGCACGAGCGGTGGGGAGGAACAGAGGGGCAAGGAGAAGCATTCTCCCCACTGAGCAGGAAGCCCAACGCAGGGCTCAATCCTGACATGGATCCCATGGATCCCGGGACTCCGGGATCACGATCTGAGCCAAAGGCAGACTCTTAACCCACTGAGTCGCCCAGGCGCCCCAGATTTTACCTTTTTAAAGTGTTGTAAAGAAAAGAATAATAATAATAATACGACAAACATGTGACAGAGACTAGATATGGCTCACAAAGTTTAGAGCATTTACTGTCTGGCCCTTTCCAGAAAATGTTTGCTGTCCCTTGATATAGGGTATTAAGAAGCCTTATGCTGCAAAGAATAGGGTACTGAATAAGCTGTGGTTTAAAAAAATAGGGATTTATTTTTTCACCATCAATTTAGAGATGGATGGTTGTTTATATCAACTCAGCTGCTCCAAAATGTTTTGAAGGATGCTGATCATTATATATGGAGTGTTGAGCAGAATACCATGAACCTGTTACCAGTGCCAGAGGAGGACTCCAACTATATTACATGCCAACCACTGGGAATAGAAATCCAAACACTTCTGCCCTCAGCATCTTGGTAGCAGAGTCACCCAGGAAAACACAAGGCAATCAAGCCCTGGATGACACAGTGCTTCTACTTACATAGAGAAGAGACAGAGCAAGGTCAGCTCCAATAGTATGCATGGGTCCCCTATGGCTAGCAGATATCCCTCAGCAGCCAGCACAGGGCAGTTGGCCTCTGTGTACCCCCCTTGTGCTGAGACAGAAGGATCCCAACTCCTCCCCCAAGGAGTCTGAAATACTGAAAGCTGAGGGCATGCATGGGGTCACTGATGCACATGCTTAAGCAGAACAAAGGACCACCCAATGAGACTGAAACAAGGAAAGATACTCCCATGCAAGGTGATAAGCCTGCCATAGGCTGTGTGGGCTCTTTAGCTCCTGGTAAGGTGGTGTACCAGGCTTAAGACCCATTCTTACATAGCCAAGTAGGGATCCAAAGACTGTGCACACAAGACTACCTTTCCTGATGTGGAGTTTTGTTAGATAATGCCAAAGTCCTTCAGCAATTCTGCCGCAATTTAGACCCTCACCAAGAGTGTCTGAGTATGCTTTCCCCACATCATTGACAATATATATTATAAGCCTTCAGAAAAATTTTCCAATTTGATAAGCTAAGTATTTATATACTGTCTTCATTTGCATTTCCCCAATTAGTAGTGAAATTGCTGTTTCATGTTTGTTGACTATTTACATGACACCCTCAGCAAATTGCCTGAAATTTTGTCCAGTTTTCTATTAGGATGGTTGTCTCTTGCTTATATATTTGTAAAAGGCTTTATGCAGTGTGGATATTGGCACATTGTTATTTTTCAAATATTTTTTCAATCTGTCACTTGTACTTTTGTCCTACAAAGATTTTTAGTCTTTATACAGTCAAGATATTTTTTTTTTAAGATTTTATTTATTTATTTGACAGAGAGAGAGCATGAGCAGGGGGGAGAAGCAAGGGGAGAGGGAGAAGCAGGCTCCCCGCTGAGCAAGGAGCCCAATGAGGGGGAGTGACAGAGGGAGAAGCAAGCCTCCCGCCGACGGGAGCCCGATGTGGGGCTCGATCCCAGGACCCTGGGATCAAGACCTGAGCTGAAGGCAGGTACTCAGCCAACTGAGCCACCCAGGCACCCCTACAGTGAAGATCTTTTATCAATCTTTTTATTTATATTTTTCTGGATATTTTTGATTTATGATTTCTGCCTTGGAATGTCTTCATCACCTCCAGATTATAAAAATAATCTATTACATTTTATTCTTTATACTTTAATAGTTTTATTTTTATAATAAGGATTTTAATTGCTCTGGAAGTTACTTTTGGTTATAGTGTATAGTGTCAAATAAGGATTTTCCCAAATGAGAGCTAACTGGGCCAACTGATCCTTTTTTCACTAAATTAAAAATGCCTCCTTTATTATATACCAAATTGCTAATATCTGTTTTCTTTAATTGATCTGTTACCACTCTGTTTTGATGACTGCAACCTTGTCCTGTGTTTTGATATTTGTAGAGCAAGTCTTCCCTGATTGTACTTTTTCAACATTTTAATTAGCTATCCTTGTATAATTTTTCTTCATAAATTTTATTTACCTATTTTTGAATTATCCAGTAAAAATAATTCAAAAGTCAAAAAATGTATACAGTGAAAGGCAAATTTTTCTCCCTCCCAGACTTCTAATCCCATAGTCTGATAGGCAGTCATTACTGTCAGTTTTAATATCCTCTTCCAGAAATAGTATATAAATATATATGTTTATGTTTATATTTTAAACAAAAATAGGAGCACTATGTAAATTGTTCTGTACCTTGATTTTTTTAACTTAATGTATCTTGAATATCATTTCATATCAAGATATATAGATCTGCCTCATTTTTTGATTTATATAAGTTATGTTCGAACATCTTCTTGAATCCTATTAAACTTTTCTATCAATGTAAGAATTTGAGGATTATTTTTGACTTCTTATATGAAAAATTTCAAACATACCTAGAGGTAGAATAGCAAAATAAAGTTCTTTGAACCCATCACTCAGATTCAACAGTTTTTGACAAATGGCTAATCTCCTTTTATCTATAAACCACCTAGGCCTAACAGACATCTATAGAACAGTCCACCCACTTCCAGTAGAATACACATTCTTCTCAAGTGCACATGAAACATTCTCCAGGATAGACCATTATGCCATAGAACAAGTGTCAAAATTTTAAAGAAAGCTATAGTCCAATATCCCTCATGAATATAGATACAAAAATCTTCCACAACACATTAGTATACCAAATCTAGCAACAATTTAAAAAAGAACATATGCCATGATCAAGTGGGATTTATCCCAGGATAACACAAGGTTGGTTCAATATATGAATATTAAGGCAATACACCATATTAATCAAATAAAGAACAAAAAGCACATGATCATATAATAGGTGGAGAAAAACAGTTTGACAAAATCCGCTACCCATTTGTGATGAAAAAAAGTCTCAATGAACTAGCAACAGAAGGCAAGGTCCTTAATTTGATGAAGAACATCTAAGAATATTTATTATATGGTGAAAGATTGTTTTCCCCCTAAGACTGGGGAAAAAATTAAGGGTCTACTCTTGTCACTTCTATTTAATATTGTATTGGAAACCAGTGCAATAAGCCAAAAAAAAAAACGAACAACAACCAAAAAACAAAAACAAGAATTAGAGGCATTTGGATTGGAAGGAAGAAATAATACTGTCTTTATCTGCAGATGACATGATCTTATATGTAGAAAATAATTAATACATAATAAAAAAAATCATAGGAAATTGGGATTGCAAGGGACATCCTTATCCTAATAAAGATCTGCAGAAAACCTATAGTCACCATCACACTTGGTAGTGAAACTCAGAAATCCTTCTGTTAAAGATCAGGATGGGGCGCCTGGGTGGCTCAGTCGTTAAGCGTCTGCCTTCAGCTCAGGTCATGATCCCAGGGTCCTGGGATCGAGCCCC